GAAATCTTGTAGAGAGGTCATTGATATTCCCTTTTTACAGTGGTTTGTGGAAAAGGCAGTGGTGAATATGAGGAAGAGAGCAGTTCTGAAGATGAAATCAACAGAAGAGCTCGTCAGGCAAGGGGGCGGCATATGGATGACACAGAAGCTGGAGGCAGCCATCATAGGTGAGGCAGAATATGACAATATTGAGGTACTTTCTGATTATGTCAAGAGGTCTTCTATTCCTAACAGTTAATTAAATAATTTTATGTTCACATGTTAAGTGTTACTATATCTGCATACACCACATTGAAAATAACAATACGAATCTGCTTAAAATAGTATAATGAATTAAATATACTTTAAGATGGTGGAACAGAGCACTTACCACAATAAGAGTTTTGTTGTGCAGTTCAACTACATTAGTTGCATTTGAAGTAAATGCTTGCCAGTCAGCAGACTGCGGTTATATGTGCTCATCTTATGTCTGCTGTCGTGAACCTGAAAGAATATGTCTCATTTCCTGTAATTTAACTATGTGAGCAATTAACTGTCTGAGTGATACACTCAAAATGTTCTGAATTGTCTATGCTGTTCTTCAACCCTGCATTGGAGAACTCCAGTCTTCATATCCAATATGTATACCTTCTTTTTAATATTTCAATATGGCTCCTGAAATTTAAGTAGCTTTACCCATAATTCTGTCCAAGGTGTAGTTAAAGTGTTCTTGCTCTAGAAGTTACCTAAATTGCTTGCTGACAAGTATAACTTTCTTGTCCTCCCATTTGGTCTTGGTGGCAGGTGTCATAATTTAACACAGAATACTCTGAGTACTAATCTTGTATGCTAACAACCTTACAGCACTGATAGTCTAGCAAAATGTATGAGCTAATCCTACGTTGTAACAGTGAGTGAAATTTTCAAGATACAACAATGTAAATTGAAAGAAACATATCTTTTGCACAGTGACAGTGTTCAACAAGAAATTGTTATAGAATATTCAGTTGAAAGACAAATTTTAAACACTCAGGCAGTGTGTGCTTCTCTGAGCCCCTATTTTGGCAAGTGGCTTACCTTATCTTACTCTTTCATAATTACCTTCCCAGGTTTATGTTTCAAATTAAATTGTACAATAAACTAAAGTCTTTAAATATGAAATTAAATTTTAAATATGCAAATTTCATACATACAGTGAGCTTAATAAAACTAATTTAATTCTTATACTGATTAATATCTTAAAACAATAAATGACAAAGTCTATAAACCAAATAAACAAGTGCTTAATCATGCTAAAGCTTTAGTGTATGAACTTACTTCCTTATTTTTTACAGTGGCGTGCGGTGCATTATGTCTGAAATATCTTGGGGTATGCAGCATCAAAAGCTAACATTATAATTAAATTCAGCTCTGTTCATCCCTTTTCGTGGAACATTAATTAATAGTGGGGTCATAAAAAATACTTTCACTCTTTAGGTACTTCAGCATTTTCTTCTTGATGGAGATGATGGATAGTTGTGCAAGTCTCTGCTGTCCTTGACTAGTTCTCGTGTAAGTATGGATGCATTTGGGGGCAGAAAATTGCTGTTCTATGGACACACCTCTTGCGAGAAATGTCAGTATTGATTCGCACAATTTATACTTTTGGTGTAGTTCTTCATATGTTCTTCTTCCCTTAAAGATATTTCAGTAGACCACAGACCATATATTAAAATTGTTCTGGGGTGCTAAATACTATAATATTAATTCTTTGTTTAATAAATGTGTTGATCTCAAGAATGACATTTTTCACTTAAACAGCTGGTTGTTCTATTAGCCTTTGGTTGTTCTTCCTGCTATACTGCACTTGTGGACGTGCTGGCACTGCCTTTATTATAATTTTGTTAGAATAAATAATGTATATCTGTTCAAAGAGGGGTACAGTAATTGTCTAGTAGGTCATTTCAGAATCAGTATCAGTGTGCTCAATCCATTTTGTGTATTATTCACACAAGGCAAACAGAATAAAATTTTAATTTCTATGAGAATATGAAGAGAGTGGTATGAAAGTTGTCATAGAATATTTGAAAGTATTAGAAAAGTGGTTCATATAATGATGTACCATTTATATTATTTATGCAAACTCTTTATATAAACCAACATATAATACATTTTTCCATTCTACATAAATTATGTTTTAACTTTATTATGAGATATCATGTTTGACTGTTCATAGATTCAAACCTATATATATTTGAGATCTGAGGTTTCCAAAACAGCAAAGATGTTTATGGTGGTCTCCTGTATTGCAGTGTCATATGGCCTTGTAGGTGGTTAATCAGTAAAAAGACTAAATGACATCACAGCCCAGAAGACAACCATCAACACTCCATTTATATAAACATAAATACAATTTTTTTTAAATATTCTAAATAATTCGATAAACACTGTATTTGTACAATGTATTGGCATGGTTAAATTATGCTAGAAATAAACATTAACTTTCAAATAATAAGCATACAGTGATGTACAAAGTTTTTGAAACCCTAATATATCATTGCAACCCCTACAGAGCTAAAACTTAAGTTGGTGTATTCTGTCAATAAATTTAAAACATGCCAGTTTTTTAAAGGTATGATTTTTATTGCATCTTTCATTTCCAGTTGTATTAACTTCATAATAAAGTTCTTGTTTTGATATGATTCAAGTTTCGTCGCACGCCACTGGTCTTGGATATTAATTATAGTATAACATACTTCTAATGTAAACAATGTTCTGGTTTACTGTGAGAGGAATTGTGAGGCTGAAAGACACTTGCATGGTTGTCAATGTTGCTTAAGGTTGTCTCCAATATTGGTGTTGCAGTTCAATAGTCACTGTCCATAAATTAACAGAAAACTTGAAGTGATGTAATTATTTATTTATAATACATACAAATAAACTTATGTGCCACAAAACAGTCACATATCATTAAAGTTTTTTCCACATGTAGTTGCAGAAGTTCATACATAAGTTTTTCATTATGTTTTTAAAACCATCCACTAATTTATGGACATCTGTACTATCTCATCATAATCTTTCAAAATAATTCATATATGGTGGTGGTGATGGAGTAATATAAGTTCATGAAATGGTAATTTTTAAATATAGTATGTAAAATGTTTAGATAGAGATAAAGATAAGTCACTCATGTCTCTATCATCATACCATTTATATATATAAGGGTATGAGGTAAACCACTACCTCAGTCACCACATTAAATGTCTTTATAATATCATGTATTGACAAAATAATTGTGATTATTTCTTGGTTAACATTCAAGTGTTCATATCACATCTTTTTGATCTCTTTAATTTAATGCTGTTATCTTCTGTTTTTAAATTCTGTGTCATTCCTTATATCTGTTCACAAAGTGTATGGACTTTAAAAATACATCATTGTTTTATTTAGTTACAGATTTCAGAGATATGTGACTGTACTTTAATTGTATGTCCAGTTCATAATCAAGCCAGATATAAATGTATGGGATGAACTCACATTCTTAAAGAACTGAAACTGTCTCTTGATTCTGAAACAATACATATATCTAATATCATGAATACTGAGAAAACTAAGTTTGGATCTTTTTTAATTTGTCTGTGGGTTTTACTGTGAATGAACTACATAATCATTGCCAATCATTTTAATATCTCCTTCTAAAAATAAATAATACTTAAAAATGTAGATCAGTGATAAATAATATCTCAGTGATTTATAACATTCATCAACTGATTAGGATATCCTTTCAAATAGACTTCCAGAATGAAGTTCCTTTTGACTCTTTTGCAAATTTTAAATTGTTTCAGTTATCAGGTGCATTTCACATAAGCATCATTATTCTCCAGCATGTCCACTGTTTGTTTATCTGTGTGTGATAACTGCTGTGTAGAAACAGATTTTGATCAAATTTCATGTTTGGTATTATTATTAAAATGTATTTAATTCAATTTCAGTTCAAATATAACACTTACTTTACCTGAAACTGAAAGTTGTGGCTACTGAAGCCTTGAATATTCAATGTCATATGTATTTTCTTCATGCTTTGGGAAAAATTACCATCAAATAATTAAGTAGACTTCGTGAATATACGCATATAAAATGTGTCTATAATGAAATGTGTCTTAAAACGTTTTTTTAATGGCAGTGGTTCTTTCACCTTCTAAAATATTCCAACTGAACGCTAACTGTCCTAGACGTGCTATAATTCTATATTAATAGCAGTTCAACTGCATAACCATTTATCTAGAGTTCTGATGTCAGAGCTCCATAATGCAAAATGTAACTGAAGAGGAGAGAGAAAAAAACAGTAACAGTAGATTCTTGGAGGTCATGCTATTTATTGTCTGAATTATTTTAATTTCAGTCTGAGAAGACAAGGGAGTTGTGTAACATTTGACCCAACTCTTGGGCCAATGTCTGGATCACTTCTTTCCCAGCGCTCAGAGTCACTGTCACTCACAAGTGATGGAGAAATAACAGGCGATCTTCATTCTTACAGTGACAGTGACAAATTAGGTAAGTTACCAGCATTCCAGGACTTGCAGTACATACTGATGAAAGGAAACATTCTTTAGTTTGGTGATAAATTCTTTTTGACTTGAATTTAACCAAAGTTGCAAGTAATCATAGATATGTATATAGTAATGAGCAGGTAAAATGTTCGTTGTTCACTGTAACCATTAGTAATAATAATGAGTCTTTGATTAATTTCCTTTTATTAAAATAAACATATCTGTATTATTTTTTATAATATACATATTAAAACTTTAACCTTTACTGTATGGGAGTAAGGAGTTTAAATCTCCATACTGCTGGGCTGTTGGCCAATCTTTAACTCTGGGTTAATGGTTTAGCATTATGCTAGTGCGATACACAGCTTGCTGGATTGCATGTAAACTGTGATGTAAGGATGACAGAGTTTAAAATTAATAAATAATATTCAGTACCTGGCAAGAACATAGCATATAGAATGGAATCATTTTGAACATTTCATATGTTTAATATATGCTGGCCTTGATTGACATTTTAACACAATGGGGTAGAGTGCAACTGATACATATGTCTGAAACTATGAATTACCCTGTAAGTCTCTAAGTGATAGACTGTGGATAGGGTTTCATTCCTAACAAGGTATATATATTCATAATATCTCTTTGACACAAGTGACCTTGGGTGTCAGCAGGCTGGATTATGAAACTGACCTGTTGCCTACAATTATTTCCAAGAATCAGAATATGTGGAACTTTATTTCTGTGCTCTGTCAAGCCACCATTTTATGGTGCTTAAGCACAGGGACAGTTCTACCCACTTTAAGTATTAAACAGGTCACCACTTTGGAAACATGAGAGACTACAGCAGGAGTCGTGAGAGTCTGGCATCTTCAGTGAACTTCAGCAGACAAGCAGGTTGCAACTTGCCTGATTCAACCTGCAGCCGAATGGATGCTAGTCAACCACATCTGGATCAGTCCTGCGACCACCGGCAAAATGCTGGAACTGACATGGAGAACAACCTGTCACTACACAGCCACAATGTGGCAGCCTCGCCTTACTTACACATGTAAGAACTTGTCACTGCTTCCTGTATTTGTTCATGTATAAGGCTCAATGTCTCATTTGTATTGGGATTATGCATCTTTTGTATGTCTTTGTTAGGCGCCGGGACTCCCAAGGATCAAATATATCACGTGAGTGGTACTGGTCAGAAGATAGAGCATCACTTTCGGGTAGTTCAGCAAGCGGCCACCGAACAGCTAGCAGCAGTTGTGGTGGGGCAGATGTGGTTGAGGACAGTGCTGATGCATCAGTTATGGAAAACGGTTAGTAGTTCTGTAAGAATATATTTAACATGCAGGTGGCTGCTCCTCTTAAAATGTATTTATTTTACCACTTCATTGGTTTGTTATGTTTATAAATGTTAATATAAAAGAGGAATGTTATGGTTACTTGAAATGTTGTCTGACACTCTAACCTGCATTAATCATTAATGATAAATTCTCACATAACTTCTTAAATTGAAGGAAAGTTCCAATATTAGAATACTTGGTTAAATTATTTTAACTCAGTGTATAATAATGACCTTTCTTAGAAATCTATCTTCTCCACAAACTCACTGTTACATACTTTCTTGATTCTCTTACAAATACTTAAAAAAATGTATGTAGTTTGCTAAACATTATGAGCATAATAAGCTTGGTTGTATTGGACCAAATTTTATAAAACAGAACTTACATTTTTTAGCCTGTTTAACCAGAAGTAAGTACAACATAGAACCAATTAAGAAGAACATAGAACAACTATTTTTACTTGAGAACAAAATGCCTTTTACTCTCTCTTTTTTCCCCAGTTCACAGCTTTACCTTTCAGTTGATGATATAATGTAATTAAATTTTTACAATCAAAAATAATCTCTTAAAGTATTTTTCATAAATTTGGTATACAAGCTGGTACAATTTCATAATCTTTGCTCTCAACATTAAAATCACCTTCCAGTAGTCTACAGTCATATGTTAATGGTTAGTAATGTTCAAATGTATACAATAAGTAGAGACCCATCAGAACATACAATGATACTACAGAGTTATCAATAATAGGTGGAATATTTGTAATATAAATTAATGTTCAGTCAGGAAACTTATAAATACTTAATTCTTTAAATTCTTTTTCTTGGCAGAATTTTAACATTTTAAAATATTTTACAGATAGCAAGTAGAACATACATTTACACGTGCTTGTTTTGTCACAGCAGTGAACCTAGGAATGCTAGAACTGACACTCTTATACAATCCTGTGACATCTGCCTTGACCTGCTCACTACATCGTGCCAAGGTAGGAGCTGCATTAAACGAATTATATTTAGCTTGTAAATTCAGATTTATAATTGTATACATACTGTCTCTACTTTGTGTTTAGGGTTTAAGACCCATGGACATCAATGGCCTTTCTGATCCATTCTGCAGACTGAATATATTGCCCACAGGAGGCAAGGTAAGAGAATGTATTTTTGTAACATCATGATCATTATCCAATGTATTTTCCACTATTTTTGGTTGCCTTGTTACAAAACCTACTTCAGTATATATAGTCTTCTCAAGTGTTCCTCTTGTATCCATATCTGCAGATTCTCTGCCCTGTTTTTATACCATTTCTTACTTCGTTTCTCTATAGTCTCAAAGTCTCATATATTCTTAGCCTTTCCAGTGGTTAGTCATTCACATCCAGTTATTGCCATGCATGCATAACACATGTTCATACTCCCCCTTTAATAAACATATCTTATAATTTTTCTCCTTCTGAATATTATTTGGCTAATTAAGATGAAATTACTTAATTTCAGCTATGAATGTGATTTAATTCTCTTGAATAAGTGATTATTTAATGAATTATTATTTTATAAGTAACAAAAACATGAAATTATGTTAAAGTAGTACTAATTTTCTCTTCTCCAGTTTTATGTGTATTACTGTAGTACAGACAAACTTTAAAAACATAGTCTGTGCTGTTAACACATAGGTGTGGTGATATCACAATAAGTAATTAATGTCCTTATATTTGTTAAGTCTGTGTTTGTGGGCACTGTATTTAAAGTGCAATTTCTCTATTGTTAATTTATTTAGAGTTGACTCAACAGCACTAACTACCTACTTCTTTGTTGTTCTTACAGTCAAATAGACTGCGCACCAAGACTGTTCACAAAACGCGGAATCCAGAATTCAATGAGACATTGACATTCTATGGAGTGACAGATGGGGATGTCGGGAGAAAGCTGTTACATATTCTTATTCTTGGTAAGTTTTATAGTTATTTTCCTTTTCAGAAATTAACATTATGTCTATAATATCAGAATCATAAAAATATAAAATACACATAAGATTATTATTTCTTTTTACCTTCTTTGTCTTAGAATCAGTTAACTATGGGAAAGTACACAAGTATATTTAAAAACAATGGAATTGAGTACTTAACACTCCTGCTTCATATTTGGGAGATTTCAGGTTAAAATCTCAGCTTGGTGACTGGCTAATTTGACTGAGATTCTTTGTGATTTCCTCAGTCCCTCCACTCATGGAGATGGTACCTTTAAACTAGGCCACATTCCATTTTCTTTCCAATACATTATTGTCTAAGCATTCTAGCATTTTACACAAAGATATGAGCTATGCATCACTTATTAAACCATAAATAAATTTAAAAGTGCATTATGATTTATATAGTGAAATATATTTGTTTCAGATGATGATAAGTATGGCCATGACTTTATAGGCGAAGCTCGTATTCCTCTGATACATCTCAAACCACAGGAACCTAAACATATGAATATCTACCTGGAAAAGCATTACCCGGTAACATTTCTGCTTTTAGACAGCATTATAAATACTGGTAATAATAAACTAAACATTGGTTGCTTAAATGAATGGCAGAAATCATTAAATATTATTCAGTGTTCATATTTTCACTATTTTATGTGTATAAAATTATTTTTTAACATGGTTCATGGTCATTAATGGAATGAAATGACTAACAATAGGGTGGCCAGTGCCATTCTCTTGACTATTACTGGTGCATAATTTTCTGCAAAGTACCCCAGTATTTCTTTATTTGTCTACATAGAAATAAATCTAAAACTTCAGAAGGTGATTTTTGTCCTTTATGTGTAACTATGGCCATATGATTTATTGTCAGGTGGAGGAGGAAGATGAGGTATGGGGAAATGATACATGGGCACATGGACAGATCCTCGTGACATTATGTTACTCAACACGTCGGCGAGCTCTTGTGGTGGGCATCGTGCGATGCATTAACCTTCAGCCAATGGACAACAATGGCTTTTCTGATCCTTTTGTCAAACTGTATGTTTTTTGTTCCTGATTTACTTACATTTATTGATTACTGGTTAATGATTTATTCTTTACAAAAGGGAAACAGGCCACATTTTCTGAGCTTTTATGTATGGAGTGTAGGAAATGCCACACTTTGGAGTCCATGTTAACAAATTTAACACTGACAATGTAAAATTACCTTTTTTTTCTTAATTCAGTCAGTAAAGGTAGTTAATTTCTTGGCTGCTGTAGACTAGCAGACTTAATCATACCCATTCGACCAGGGCTAATAAACAGAACATATTTTCTGTACCAAATAATGTATAAATAATATTTTCTGGGTATTAACTTCAGTGTTTGGGCAGTGGGCCAATATGAAAATGAATAAAAATAACTTTTTTATTTGAATATTCTACTGTGTAACCAACCTGAACAATTTGTGAGAACATATGTAGAACCTCAGTATGGTATTAACTCATAGTTATTGATTATTATTAAACTGTTAATATTAAATGAAATGTAAGAAAGAATTTATGTTTAAGAATAATATAGAATGTTTTCTTTCATTTAATTTATTATATTAATTACACACGTCAAAATTTTCAGAAAGTAAGTGCAGGTTTAAAGCTACTTGTGATTATATAGAGAGAGTAATTAGCACACAGCACTTTTACTTGGGATACACATAATGTTATGACAATATCATCCAGATGCTTGTGAATCTATTTCAGGACCATATAATTTGTTGTGATCGATTAATGAAAATTTCCTACATTGTTCTTTAAGAGCATAACAATTTTTTTATTATTGCATACATTTCTTTTAAAAGTTGCAGCTATTTCTCTGTATAGCTTTGTAGGCTGTATATAAATGATCTCATTTGTATGCTGAACCTTAGTTCCAAAAGAGCATATTGCCCTTTCTGTATCTGTCATGCATGTGAATGCCAGAATTTCTCATTATGTTTTTATTACAATTCTCCTTGACATTATATGATTTAGTATTTAGAGGAAAGAGTCATTATTATATTTAATCCTGTACATTTCTTTCAGGCGCTTGAAGCCAGACCCTTTCCATCGTAAGTACAAGACTTCAGTCAAGTGGAAGAATCTTAATCCAGTGTTCAATGAAGAATTTGTTTTTGATACAAAGATGACTGAACTTCCAAAACAAGCTCTTGAGATTACTGTCTGGGACAAGGATTATGGGAAGAGCAATGATTATCTTGGTGAGTTTCTGACAGTTGTATCTTTGTGATAACATCTAATTTTTATGTTACACAGTAGAATAAGGTGTAATGGTAGGATGTACAACAGGAAACCACTTTGTATTAGCACCTAAATTACTTCATGTAGTGCACTTCATTTCTACAAACAAGGTTCTGGTTTTCTGGTGACTTTAGTTATGGCAAGATAACTCTTACATCTGTAACGGAGGAAATGTCACTACCTACTTCATAAGTAAAGTTGTTTAGTTTTTATGTGTTTCTTGCACAAGCATAAAATAAACATTACTGGAGAGATCATACTTGTCTGTTCTCATGTTTCACCTCACTTGTGCTCATTTTCTTTTCTCATACACAATAGCATATGTTTCATCTCAACAGATTTTTACTAGAATAGGTAATGAGGGGTCTACACTAACAGTTATCAAGCAAATTTAATTTTTGTTTGGTACTGGTGTTATATGATCCTTCAGATTCAAATTAGATTTTATAAATTTTCTCAAGAAATGCTCATCACACATAAACATTGAAACATGGCATAAAATATTGGCCTCTTGATGATCTGCAACTTTTATTTTTAAAAAATTTCAGCATTGTAAATATGTAAAAAATTGTAACAAAAATAATTTATGATTCTGTACAGTAGTGTCTATAGTGTTGGTACCGTCTCAAAACTGACCTGTACTCCAACTTCAAGAAGACTTTTCAACGCTTTAAGTTTACAATAACAAATAGCAAGTGCAGTTTAGTCAGTTATATACCAATTAACCTACCATACTTTCATGTACCAAGCCCATTTCCCTTACTTGCAGTAACATTATTCTTGATATTTAGGTGGCTTGCAACTTGGATGGCACTCAAAAGGAGAGCGTCTAAAGCACTGGGTGGATATGATAAAATTCCCAGATCACAAGCATGAAGGTTGGCACAACCTTGGAGAAGATATGCTCTCTGACTAGTCCTCAACCCAGAAACATAAGTTGTTACAACTGGAATTCTAAACACAAGCGCCTGAATACAAATAAAATAGAATACTGGATGGATTCAGCAAAGTTCTTTTACTTTGTCAAATGGTTTCAAACTCTGTGTTATGCATTTGTAAAGATGTAACAATTTAAAATACAACTTTCAGTTTCTGCACTTTCTTGGTATTTGTATAATGTAGCCTGTTTATAAAGTTAACCCTTTCAATGTTAAACTGTGTATGTTCTGAGGTGCTGCATTTTATCCATGCTGTCTATATGATATCAATTCTAGAAACAATAGCTATGTTAACTTCTTCACTCTCAGTTCACAGAATTGTCAGGTCAGAGACAAGGCCATAGCTAGCAGTTCTGATGGCATGCTGGCTGGCTGGTTGGACCTTTACAGACTTTTTAGGTGTAGAGAGAAAAGGATGTACATTGGTGGAATGATGATTGGCAGGCAAAATTGAAGCACTAAAATTAAAAATTGTCTCAGTGTTAGTCTGTGACAAATGTCACATTGACTGCCCCAGAATTAAACCTAAGCCTCCACAATGTGAAACTGGCATTTAACCACCTGAGCTATGGTATAGCTTCTAGTAACAACTCGGTGTGCATATACCAACTTGTGCACAATTATAACCAGGAGGGGTTGCTTCTTCCATTGCTGCCATCTTGTATGTGAGTGCACTACATAATATTGATAAGTGATCACTTTATTTTCACCATGGCAGCGCAAATAACTGCTCAGTCAGATTATAACACTGAAAGAGTTAACAATGACTCAGAAGTCATGTATAAAACAGATCCTACAGTGATGAAGTTGAGCACGTATATTTGGAATTCTATATATTAGAGAAAGTGAAGAGATTAAACAATAATTGGGAAAATTCATTTGTAAAGAATTACTGGGCTTTAATCTTAACTATTGTATTATGAACTTGCAAGGTATAGTGAACTCCACAGAACACTATATTCACAAGGCTTATTGAAAAAAAATTAATGCAGGAAGTATCCAGAAGTTTATGTTCAGAAAGAAAGTAGTAATTTGTTTAGTTTAGTTTTTTTACTTGATCTCCTTTCCTCTTCTAGTGTCTTAAGTTCTGCAGTCAACAACTGCAAGTTGCTACAATGTATATGATTAATTTCCTTAAATAATGGGCAAGTGGCATTTATTTAAATATTAATACTTTTTGTGCTGATTTGATTTATCTTAATTCCTCTTATCAAGAACACCCACAACACAGCCATCTTTCTGGATGTATTAGTGACACTTTCTTTGATGTTGTATAGATGTGAGTATCATGTGTAAAAGCAAAATAAGAAGAAACTTGCATATCTCAGGACTATTCAAACTACCGTGCATACATATCTTGAACAGCCTATAGCACAGACCATGTCAGACAGAGAATTGTGGTGGGCTAGAATTCTCATAGCATAATCCATATAATACTACCTTTAAAGGAAGTGCCCTACCACTCAAAATGCATAGCAGCAGCACCTTGACTTAGACATAGCTCAGGATCTAACTGTTCTGAAGATATTACTGATGGTACAGTCTGTTAAAAGAGAAACCAAAATTTCTGTGTTTTAAATACAATAAGAACAAGGCGCAGTATTGCAACTGATACAGAACTGTGACGTGTTGTCATGGCCTGGCTGAAAGCTGTAAAATTATGCTATTCTATAATATTTTTATGATACTTCTTATCTCCAGTTTTGTCACACATGCTACTATGTTTATATAAATATTTTTTTTTTTTGTCTTTGAGCAGTTATTTCTTGTCAGGAAGTGTCTTTTTCACTGTTAATGGCCTCAAGATGAATGCTGTGTAATATGCTGTAACACTAAGCTTCAACATCTATGAAAACAGGAAGTATCCTTCCTCATTCTACTATATTTTTATCAATAATTTGTATGAGTGCAGATGTAACTATAACCAGCTGAAATATTTAAAGTGTTATTTCATTTTTAAGACAATCAATTATGGTAAGAACTTTTTTCAGCTGAAATAAATGTTTGATAGTTCATTTTTATTGCTATTTGAGCCAAATGGCTGCACAGTTGATACCATGTATTATACGTAAAATGCTGTTGTGGAGCAATGTTACAAATTAACTAGTTTCCTTATTTTTCCTGAACAGTGTGGTGATAATAAATATTTTTCTTTTCCATTATCTTCTCTGAATTCTGTTTAGGTATTTTTTTACATATTTCTAAGCCCCCAGTCCACTGTGTAAATTCAACAAATCCCTTGCTTTCTCTAGAACAGGAAAGTGAAAGTAAATTTTTGTCATTTTCCTTACAGATGTGTAGTGTAGCAAATCAACCAAAAGCTGCTTCAAGAGTCAAACCCATATTATTTTTCCTAAAGTTGTTATCTTTCTGGGCACAACTTCACTGTATTTTTTATATATATATATATATAAAGTTTCAGACACTAAATACATCTGGAAGTGCCCAAAAATCAACTCTGGGAAGCAAATATGTATGCATTATAATAATACTGGCTTCACTGATGTTGCAGTTAATATACTACTGTATCAGTGGCAGAGCATGAATGATGTCAGCCAAATCCCAAAGTGGGTCATGAAAATGTTGGCAATTGAGTATATACACTACTACATTTTCCATGACACTAACTGTGAAAGAAATGCCACCAGCACTTACAAAATGTGTTTTTCTTTGGTTAAGTGATTTCAAGATAGAAGAAAAAACATTTCAGATAAAAACAGATTTGACTTTCTTATAATTTTAAGTAATCATCAAATGTAGAGTTAAATGTGAGTAATGGTCATCAATCAATTCCCTGGAAGATGGCAGAAGGAAACATAAATAAGGTGTAAGATTGGTCTTGACAAAAGATTTGAATATGAAGATATACAGTGACCAAAGAGGATGTGCCCCAGTACATCAGCTACTGCTTCTGAAACTCACCAAGCATGATACTGTGCTGCTTGCCCACCCACCATGAAGTTTTCACTAGTTTCCTGGCTGAAGGGATACAACTTCAAAGGTACATTTGAGGTTATAACATCTACAAGCTTCTTACAGCTGCCAAACTGAGTTACATTTCCAGTCCCAGAACCTATGAAGCAACTATATCTTAATAAAATTATGGTGCTGGGAATCTTGAATTATTTTCAAGTTTCTTTGTCCTGCCAAGTGCATAGCAACTCATTAACTTTTATTAGCAGCCCTGCCATGTTGGGTCAATATTCCCTATCCTGCATGATCAAAGTTGAAGAGTCCAATGTTACACCTTACATTATCATTCCTACAACTGCTACTTAAGCCACCTTATGTACTGACAATCCAATGATACGTACATTTTTGTAAGGATGGAAATTTATCTAAGAGTGAAGAATCTGCACTCTGGCACATGACCTTCACC